GGTGTTGAGCCTTTTCTCCACAAATGTTGTCATCTGTGCTGTGCCTAACTCATAGCAGCTCAGTAGGCGTCTTGTAACATCTTGTGGCATTACCACTCCTGTGGCAATGTTGATAAGGGGTAAGGGGTCATCACTGTCATTGTCCACTTCATCAAGAGAGAATGGGTCTGTCATGAGGCCTGATGTGATTGTGGACAACAGCTTGTTGACATCTCCCTCATCTCTCTTCCGTCTGTTTGGGGCTGCCTCCTTGTGTGTTCCCACTCAATCAGAATCTTGCAGGCCACACATCTCCTTCATTGCTGTTGTGATAACAGCTCGTTCGTGGCTGAGTAAGAACCAGCGTTCCAGTGCTCTGGGTTTCTGACTGATGCCGATGATGCCACCCTTGGTCTTTGAGTCTAGGTTGATGGATTGCTCCAAGGCCATATCAGTCCACACCTGAGCAAACGGCTGACTAGACCTGCTGACAGCATGGTTTCCAGTGACAAACTCTTTGTGAATGGCAGGATGTGTCTCCAACAGCTGGTTCATGTCGGTGATGTAGACAGGTAGCCATCGGGAATAGTTTGGCCTGTCTATGGCGAAGAAGTGGGGTGTCATGGCAGAAGTTGGTCCTCTCTGCTCTGATGAACTGGAGAAGCAGCTGGACCATAGCAACATAGTCATCCCAGAAAGCAAACAGGTGAGATTTGCTGCGAGCCTCATTCTTGAATGTGGTGAACTGCTGTTCCAGCTCTACCATGTTCTGCGTCAGCTTGTTTAAGTTTTCCTTGACATCTTTGCCTTCCTGAACAGCTTCTCTACAAACCCTGGTGTATTCTGCCACTGCTTCCTTATCTGCACCACCACCATCATTGTCTGACAGCCACTTGATAAAGGCTTGCCACTGAAGACGGAATATGGCTTCCATGATCAGTCGATGTGCACAAACTCCTCGGTTGTAGGACTTGCCCTTTAGAAGCAGTGAGGCGGTGCCACTCCCATACACTCCCGATTCGATAAGTAGATCCTCTATTCCCGATCCATCATATTTCTTTCCCAGGAGGGATAGGTAGTTTATGGCTACATGGAAGCCTCACATGCAAATGACCATGTTGACAAACTCTTCTGGTAGGCGCCATTGTATTTCTTTGGCTTTGACATAGATGGCGAGGTCGAACGTTATGACGCTGTCTTCCTGGCCAAGGCTCGCCATCATGGCCTCCACATTCTTAATGACAGTGTACACTGTACTGGATTCTGTTGGGGATCCATCTATCATTGGGCAGTAACCAACACTGGTGAGGGTTGGTATACATGAATGGACCATGGCATTGAATCCACTCCAGCTAGGTACAGTCTGCTGATCTGCAGACATTGGTGTGAGTTCCACCTCAAACAGCTTTGTTGGACAGAGTCGGACCAACGCCCGTGCAGGATATCACACACAATCAGCTATAACAGTGCTACAAAAATCGCATTTATAGCATCCAGAGTGAAATCAATATATCATCATATGGTTTTATGTGCTCACTCGTTCGTGTTATTGCACTCTGAACTCGCACCTAAAACTGATATCCATGCCAAATCATGTGATAATCTATTTATATAGAGTGGTGGTATATTTTGAGTAGTGCACACATGGTTATATCACATGGTTATAGCAACATGTGCTATCCATCCCAGTCAGTGGCTCATGTTGGAACATTCATTCATTTTGTATGTTTTACCTTTTTTATGTTTTTCCGCTTTGACCTGTAGTGACTTTCTAAGGCGGTTAACATTATATTTGTGTTAATACAGTNCGCACGCACGCACACACACACACACACACACACACACACATACACACACACGTAGACATACACAGCACACAACACGCGCGCACACACACACCCACACACACACACCCACACACACACACGTACGCACGCACACAGACGCACTTCTAGTCATTACATAACATTGAAGGGCGCTGCACTTTCACCCTTGCATAAGCTTATTAGCGAGTATTTTTGGAACGACATCTTTAGGGTTTGTCAGCTGCGTAACACACAACTAGGAACTTAATATTATCCCGCCCAGCGGGAGAGAGAGTCAGGGGAGAGGGAGAGCAAGAGAGCGAGAGAGAGGGGAGAGTGATAGAGAGAGAGGGAGGGGGGGGAGAGATACAAAGACAGACAGAGCGAGGGAGAGAGTGAGGGAGAGAAAGAGAGCAAGCGAGAGGGGAGAGGGATAGAGAGAGAGAGAGAGAGGAGAGATAGAAAGACAGACATAGAGAAGAGCAGAGAGAGAGAGAGAGAAGAGAGAGAGAGAGAGAGAGAGAGCAAGAAATAACGGCGCAGAAAGAGGAATGGGGCAGGAGAACTCTTTCTTAGCCATGGGCCCTATTAAAATGACCTTGAAATAACCGCTTTTAATCTGTTATGCGCGTCGAATTTTGCGCTGTGCGTACTTTACTTTATATGCCAACAGGCTGCGCGCAAATTTTTCCGATGCACGTGTTTGAATTGAATGCCGCACCTGGCATAGACGGTTAATAAAAATTACATCCTGCTGGAACTAATGTGGACATTTGCAGTTTTCGCGTTTCAGCCTGTTAAGTTGTTCAAGTGTAGCGGGCTCGAGCTAATATTAGACTCAGGTGCCACATTCTCTGGCCGCGCGTCACCGGCGCGGCACGCGAAGGCTGCTGTGGTCAACAACAGCCGTCGCTGTTTGCCCGTGTGTGCTAAAACCCCATACGCAGCTAATTAAAAAAGTTCATATGTAAATGTAAAGGCTGAGCAGGGCTCTATAGTCCCCGCGGGTACTGCCGGAACGTTCACCTCGGTACGGTCCGCGTATTACCTGCGACGTACCTTGCTGACTATCTCTACATTATGCCGCGACCGTACCTCCCTTTCCTGCTACTCTACTAACGAGTTCTTGCGGAGTTCGCTTACCTCCTCTACGCCTAACCTCCCCCCCAACCCTAACCTAATCCCAAATACCCGAGCCTAACCCTTAACCCTAATTCTAAACCACTAACCATATCAAATAGTGACCAGGGCTACGCTTCCGGTTATTACCGGACCCGGATCGCCTACCCAGGGTACGTTCCGGCAGTACCGGGGGACATTATGCACCCTATGAGCGTAAAGTAAAAGTGCAGTAGTGCGTTTGTGTGCTGTGTGTGTGTGGTCGTGCTGCGTTGGCGTGCGTGCGTCTGCGTGCGTAGCGTGCGTTGCCGATGCGTGCTGTGCAGTGACGGGTCGCGTCTTGTGTGTGCGTGTGTGTGGCTCGTGAATTAAACAGCGAGTAAGGGCGCTGGGGCATCGATTTAGTAGTGCTGCTGCTGCTGCTGCTGCGTGTGTTTGCTCGCCTTCAAACGTGGCCGTCCACTGTTAAATTCATCACAAAGGCACGAAAGTCAATGCCGGCCGGGGCGCGGATCTGATGGACGACGGACAGGCGAGGAGAGGAGGGGGGGGGCAAAGACGGATGTTGGCAGGCCTTGTAACATTTACTTCTAATGTCTATTTCGCCGCTGACCCTTGCGGCAATGTCGATTCATAATGAAAGAGTAGCTAGCGATTTCTGTCGACTGTCACTCGATCGTTTGAAAATTGCGAGCAGAATCGTAATTCGAATTCACAATTTACAGAGAGCTAAAAAATACAAAGACGCAAAACTTGTTTTTGGGAACTGCGACGACTGAGGATGGTCTGGGCAAGTACACGTTGAAGTTTTTGAACGAGCAGATGCGAGTTCGTACACAAAAACTCTATAATGGTACAAAAATACTACTCCTATATATAATAATATAACGCGATTATCAACTAGCCACAGCACGTGTGCTTAATACGTGTGTATGTGCGTGCGTGTGGGTTATCGATGTTATATGTGTGAGTGAGGTGGCGTGAAGCTGCGCGATGTCTCCTCGTTGGTACTGATGCTCTCCGGATGCTGCGAGCAGCCACTCCGCTATGCACGCGGTAGTCATGGCGCCAGGTTAGATAAAATGATGCGGTAATGCGCGTAGTTACACTGCGCCGTGATCATAGCAGGAGCACGTGAATGGATGGGGCTTCATGCTCTAGTCATGTATTACTGATTACATCGGTAATAATGTACATGGTAATTAATGACCGTCAGCATAAAACCGTGGCGAAGCGCAGGCTATTATGTACGTGCGCGTGTGCGTGCCTGTGTGCGTGCCTATGAGCGTGCATGCGTGCTACGCTTGCGTGCGTTCGTGCTTGCATGCGTGCGTTTGTGCGCATGTGTGTGTGGGTGTTTGCGTGCGTGCGTGCGTGCGTGCGTGCGTGCGTGCGTGTTTGTAAATTTGTTATATTCTTCTTCGCGATGCTATATCGATGCCAAATGTCACTGCAAATGCATTTTCTGAATTCGCTGTTATGGAAACCTCGTATTTATTTATTGGTGCCTCATTTAGAGAGAATAATTATCCCCCTGTGTTTACACGAATGACCTGATATTTCTTTACAGGCCCTTCTAGTTTAATTGTCCATTGTTGTCTCAGGATGGCAAGTCATTCTATGGCTATATATTATACAAAGTATATGAGATTCCGTGCTCAAACAGGTTTTTTATTTGAACGTCATCGAAGCAAATCACATGTCATCAAATCTCTACCGAGGATCGTTCAAGGGGCTAATTTTTAATTTCCAAATAGCGTGCCCTCCACGCTTCCCGCCATCACGCACCCGCATTCACCGCGGTCACAGACAATGGCCGGTGTAAGGTGGGGGGGGGGAGGATGATATCCCGTCACACAAGAGGGGGAGAGGGTAATATCCCGGGTAATGTTTGAGCAAACATTTTGTAGGGCGAACGGGCGCCTCCGGCTAGACGGACGTGTGTTTGCGCTCGGTGTTCGGCCAGCTTTGTCATAATTTGTCCGTAATTTCCGAATATTTCGAGCGTTGGGCAGACGGAGGCAATGGAAGCGACAAGGGTTGAATTCTAGGCCGCAGGTTTGGCCAAGGTTGTATGCTAGGGTTGGTTGTGTGTAGCTGTGTACACGACAATTAAGACAAGGGGTGAATGCTAGGTTTGGCCGCGTGTAGCCGTGGTACACTACAAGACAAGGGTTGTATGCTACGGTAGGCAATGTGTAGCCGTGGCTATACGACAAGGCAAATGTTGTATGCGAGGGTAGGCTGCGTGTAGTTGTGGGTCCACGACAAGACAAGGGATGAATGCTAAGTGGGCCGTGTGTAGCTGTGGGTAAACGACAAGACAAGGGTTGTATGCTAGGATTGGCCCCGTC